CATTGTTGTTTGGCGGGCCTGGGCTGGATTCAAACCCACCACCTTAGGTGTATGTGGCTGGCACCTTAGCCACTTGAGCCACAGGCGCTGAGCCTTAAATGGATTTTTCAAAAGATAGAAACATTTTTCCCTCCTTGAAGTACCACCGGTAGCCCCCCCACCCTCAGCTCCTGGCTGCATCAGGCACTCAGAAGAGTGCTCAGCAGGCGGCCTTGCACAGCTCTCACTCTGGAAGGGCTCAACTGAACAAGTTTCACTTGGTTTTTAAACATAACATACTTCAAGTGGTCCTTCTAGAGGTTAACTTTAAGAGGTTAGCTTGCCTCATCTTAATTCTGGCCCATGCATGTGTCTCTACACAAAACGTATTCACTTTGGAGATCTGGGAAGGCTCCCAGAGAGTGCAAAGACCATTACTTCAAAACCAGGGCTGGGGAAGAGACGAAGAGGCTCCTGGCTCATTTCAAGATTGCTCATATGAGAAACCAACAGACACAACCAGACAGGAGGGGAGCGGGCTTTATGCAAAGGCCGAGTACAAAGGTAAGCATTAGAATCGAAAGACAGTCCCCTCTCAACACGGGAAGATATACAAAAAAAGCAGGGCAAGTGAAACAGGCCACAGAATGAAAAACTCACTTATTTAAAAGAAGGAAGACCAGAAATATGTATGTTTACACATATGTATTTCATCAGCAAATATATATATGAAAAATGAGGATGAAAAAACAACGGTAGGATAGCCCATAACATTTTAAAAAAAATGAATGCCTCTAACGTGTAGGGGGAGAGCATGGAAAAAAATAGGAATGAAGCTTCCTTGTATATATCTTGCTTTGTAGATTTGACTTTGGAATCTCATAAATATTATACACAATAATGCCAAATCAAAATTTAATAATGCAATTCCTAAAAATCAAAAGACAGTGAATTGTAAATTAAATGCACCTAAATGCAAACCAGTCGGTAACATAACCACACAGCGTAAAACTATTCCAAGTGACTTTAAAACACAGTAATCAGACAGCACAGGCTTACTGTGAAATACCCTTAAAAACAGACTCCAAAAAATGATAACTCAAAACCCAACAACTTCATCTATTTTTAGTAATCAAATAATCATGGTCTTATTAGACAAGTGGGTTTTGTTATTCTAAGGCTGCTGGGTGAGTAGTTTATAAAAAGGCAGTGAAATAGCACATCGGTATTTCTAGAGAACCAGGAGTTTGTGTACAGGAACAAGGATGGAGTGAATTTAAAAATCTTACAGTATAGGACATGAACTGGAAGAATCAATGCAAACTCACTGCACTTTTTATCTTTACAACAATACATGTTTTTACCTCTGTCCACAGAAAAAGCCTTTCTGGAAAGGCCAGGAGCAGTGGCTCACACCTGTAATCCTAGCACTCTGGGAGGCTGAGGCGGGTGGACTGCCTGAGCTTAGGCGTTGGAGATCAGCCTGTGCAAGAGTGAGACCCTGTCTCTAAAAATACCCAGGCACTGTGGTGGGCACCTGTAGTCCCAGCTACTTGGGAGGCTGAGATAAGAGAATCAGCTGGAGCCGAAGAGTTTGAAGTTGCTGGGAGCTGTGACACCATGGCACTGTACTGGGGGTGACAGAGTAAGACCTCCAGTGAGTAAGACAGAGGAGAGGAGAGGAGAGGGGAGGGGAAGGGAGGGGAGGAGAGGAGAGGAGAGAAGAGGAGAGGAGAGCAGACACCCTGTTAAAGCAGAAAGTAGGGAAGTTTAAAAACATATTAAGGTTTGAAGTTCTCACTAGCCAAAGACGGAACAACTTGATCATCCTCAAGGGGAAAGACAGCAATGGACCGAAATATAAAATATTTTTAAATCATGAGTTTATAATGATACTTTCAATTTTAAAAGAACCTCACTGGTGGTGTAGGGAGGATTCTAGGGATCAAAACTGATTCAAAAAAGGAAAGAATAAGCATTTACCCTGTTTTTTCTCTATGAACTCAGAGTTTGGGGTGGGTTAGAAGGAGCGTTTC